GTGCATCAGGAACCCGTAATGTCTAATGTATGTACCAAGTTTGAACGAAATCCATCCATAAATGCCAGAAATGTTTAATATTTGATGATTTTTTAGCACAAAAATGACCAGCATTCAGCCATTTTGAATAGGATCGTCAAACCAATATATCTGTTTATCTATGACATGATGTATAATGAATATTTAAAAATTGAACATAATCAGTGAAAGCAAGTCAGAGATATGGCACGAGAACCACATTCATTGAAACAAAATGGCCGCCAGTCAGCCATTTTGAATCTTATCTGAAAAACAAAATTATTTGCATCAAGGTCCCATAATGTCTAATGTATATACCAAGTTTGAACAAAATCCATCTGTAAACAGTCGAGAAATGCTTGATTTTTAGGATTTTTCAGCACAAAAGTTAAAAGAACTTCAATGTGCTTGTCATACATACGCTGTACTAACAATCTCTAAAATGCTGGACAGTTAAAGTAGGATGTTCGTCACCTGCGCACGCAAAGGCTTATGGGTATACACTTGTTTGTAAACTATGACACGCTATAGCCATCTGACGCATGTGCAGGTGACGACTCCCTCGCTTTAAAGAAATTCAACACTTTTAGTTTGTATTCAATTCACTATGACAGCTGAATGAACACTGATTTAGATAAAGAGAATGGGAGAAGAATATTTCTTAGTTATATCAACAAAAATTAGCAGAAATATATTTGGTTTTAAAATTTCTTTTATTTACATAATGAAGTTTAACTTCACATTGATATATTCATATAAACATACCACAACACACCTATTACAATACAGTGTGGTGCAATCAATGTTTTCATTCCAGTTTGATAAATTGTACTGTGACTGTGTTTGTGCTTAGTAGGTCACAGTGACCAAAGATGAATTTGAATATTCTTGTACCGGTATATTCTTAATTCGTGTGTACAGTGAACACTTGAATAATTCTCATGCTACTCATAAACACTAGAAAAACAAACAGATCTTATGACGAACACACTGTTTTTTTTTTAAATATCCAATAACCGTAATTGCATACTTTATTTAAGCCATGTTCTATTCACGCATGTCCCACTCAGCCAAACATTCGACATACCAGACTTGTCAAGGATATCCACGTGAAATATAACTCGTCCCAAATAATGTAAGCTATCGGTATCTTATGTTATATGGACCTTTTCATAAATTACATGTGACGAGAAAGCGCCGACAAAGCTCTACGGCGAATCAGCATTTCTTAGATCTTTCGAACGCACTTAACCAGAAAGCAATTTACAGAATTAACATGCTATTATTTTATCATGTGACAGGAAACTATAATTCAATTATTGGATCGTTCCTTTCAATAAAAAAAATATATATCACAAATGACTTTCAATCAGTTTCTCAGTAAAACAGACAACAAAGCCTATCCATGTTTTAAAAGCAAGATTACAATAATATAATTAGTGTTAAACAATGGTGTGTACTTGATGTTTAGATTTCATCCACCATTCAAGACATATTTGGTCCATCTTTACAAGTTGGTATTCATCTGTCTGCTCATTTTGTGTCCTGTCAGGGTAGATCAGATACAACTGTGAATCAATTGAGGGCATTAATTTGAATTTCATGCAATGTGATGGAATTTTCCAAAGTAGCCTTTTTTTACTATCGCACACATGTACCCTATGAGCAATTTCGAGAAATGCCTTCATAGCCATTTTGATAAATGACAAAAAAGCCCAATAATTTCTAAATTTGTTAATCCCAATATGTTGTGTGAATTACAACCAAATCACTACAATGTGATTATCTGATGACAAAATGTATATCTGTGACAGAATGTACATAACACATAAAACAATATGGAGATGTCACTGTGACTCGTGCAAAATGTTGGCATAGGCATACCGGTAATATTAAATCTTTCAATACTGTATTTTATTGTAATTTATTCTGTGAATAATATTGTCAGTGTTTGAGAGTAGCCTCAAATTTCATTAATTGTTTTAAACATTTATACAGATGTTTGTTGGCTTCATCAAAATTAATTTAACCATGAACCATGGAAAATTATTTGCACATTGATGATAGAGGAAACAGTCATATACCAACATTTTAGGGCTGTATATTGCATATTTTTCATCATTACATTGTAGATGTACATCTAAATGGATGCATCGTCAAATTGCCTACAGGTCATGATCAAAATCTTGAAATGATACAAGGGTTTATTTCTTGAAATGTGACAAAAGTTTACTCTGCCAGTGAAATATATTTGCTCTAATATATATTTCCATTGTACACTTTAGAGCGTTCAATGCTGGTGATGTAGTGTTACCCTGCTGAAATTGCTCCATATAAGGGTAGCCGAAATACTTCGGTAAGTGCACTGTGCTTTTGTTTAAGTGAATACGGTATCCATCTTGTGCAACAAAAATTTGAATTGTCATATCCTTCTAATACACATAGAGGATACCTAAACTGACCTCAGAAATGTCGATTTCTTGCGGAGTAAATGGCTGATTTGCAAACTGTCCATTTTACTATCGATATGCCGATATTGTAACCAGTTGTTGACAGCCTCTATTTGACGTTTCATGTCAAATAAAATTAATGTGTGATTGTAAACAGCATTACTGTTATCTGGTGAGAGAAAAGAATAATAAAGAGAAATAGTTAAATCAGAATGTCAGTACCTGACAAGCCTACTTTTTTCAGTCAATCATTCCAAAACAATTGATGCCTGTAAAATGTTGAAATCAACCTTTTTTGGGAGATTAAAACTGAAGCTTAACCTCCACTTTGGTAACCATTTGTATGATTCTCAGATGTCTACTACCAAATTGGCACATATGGGTGATATATTTTGTACATGATATTACATTTATAATAATATAATTAAATTATAGATTAGATAAAATAATATAATATAATTATATTTATTTATCAAACAAGATTCCTGCACTGACAACAATTTCCAGTCATAATGACTCTTTCAAGATACTAAATCTTGCTTTAATTAATTTGATTGCTGCACTTAAATGATACTTAACTCACCTGCATTACAGTGAATACTCAATAACAGCATCTGGAGTGCTTCATGTCCTTTATTAAGACCAATTAAAACCATGGCTTTATTGTTATAAGCATCAGATTTGATTTCTAATAGTCTGTTATGTATCTTATTATCATTAGTACGGGTAGTAGCTAGCTCTCCGTCTGCAAATACATATTCATATTATTTTACTATCTGAGAAATGAGATTGTTTTACCGGTATATGTCTGCACAACATAAAATATATACAATTGTTTTTGTCAAACATTATGGACTGCAGACTTTGTTGTATTTACTACCCTGCATGGTTATGACTAACTTTAAATAACAAATTATCAGTTTTTGGTGAGAAATCACATGGCGTGAGTTTAGAACATTCTGAAACACTGTCTGTCAGTTCTGGTGGAGCTGTCATCATCATTTTTACAATTTTTTTAACTACCGGTAAACCAGCACATTTCCCAAAATGAGAAGAAAAAAATAATACTCTTGATTAAGGATGTATGCTACAAAATAAAAAACCCATGGAAAATCGTTTAAAATACTACAGGTGTACAGGACATGTTACTCTAAACTCATAGAAAAGAAAAAAAACATGGGGTTAATGTACTAATTTTTAAGATACACAACTCACAATTATGCTGAGTCAGCATTTTTAAGTAGCTTTAATAAATAACTTAAGTTGTCATTTATACTCGGTCTTAATCCACATTTTTACTGAAATTGATTTTATCCTATCAGCACATAATATGAGTTCATATTTAAATTCAATTCTAATGAATTTAAGAAATTACCTATTTAAAGAAAACAATAGTTTCCTTCATTTAGTTTTGTATTTTAGATAAAAAAATTCATAGAAACTGTCCTACAAAAAATGTCATCCATGG